ATGGATGGATGGATGGATGGATGGATGGATGGATGGATGGATGGATGGACGGACAACCTTTTACTAAAATAAGCAATGTTATCGACCAACCTGGCTCCTTTCCCTCTGAAATCTGGCTCGGGCTGCCCCCCAAAAAGCCCACAACATGCTTGGCTGCCCCCATCTCCTCATCGCTGGCCCCCACGCCCCGCCACACAAACAGGGACTTTGGGGTTTTCAGCACAAACACATCGTTGGTGTTCAGGTTGGACGCAGAGACCTCAACCTGGAGACGCAGACACATGAGAGAGGTAAGGACGTCAGCATTTGTCACATTTCCTGGCCACCCACACAAATAAACATGTGCTTTCCAGATCATCTCACCTCCACAGCTCGGGTGGCGCGGGAGGAGCTCTGGCGGATGTGGAAGAGGCGTGTGCTGCCGGCCTGCGACTGCCCACTTTTGCGTGATGTTCCTCCACTGTGGATGATCATGGGCTTGGCCTGGAAGAGGCTCATCAGGTGGGAAGGTTCCTGGCCTTGAGTCACTCTCACCTGTAGATGGGTGGAGGTAAATTATTCATCACCAGATTTGGCAGTGACTTTGTAAAAATAAACAAAAGAAAACAGCAGAGAAAAAATCCCATTCAGCTCTAATAACAAAAAGTAGGGTCAGTATATTAAAAAAAAGGTTATTTTTGGGATTTACTTTGACTTTGTTCGACTGAAGATAATGGGAACTTTTTTTTACGTTTAAGACCTGAAAGACATTCCAAAATCTGGGTGCAGCCAATTCAGGGCTGGTGATCAGGTACAAAGATAAATCATTTCATTTCATTATCGATTGATCAATTGATCAATTTAAAGGCAAAGTGAACAACTGCTTTGGGTTTTTGTAACAATTTGAAACTCTAGCTGTGGATTACGTACACACATGTGTTAATGAGTGTTATTGTATTCACTTTGAAAAATGTATGGACAACATAAATATTAAAGAAAGACTGCCCTCTGCTGGTTAATCTGGATAGTTCATCTGTTTAGAAGGGGGGGATTAGAGTATTCTTCTTTTTTAGTCAATTAAAAATCCTCTGTGATAAGTTAATAAGACTTCACATCAGGAAAATCTGTTATTTCAGATATTAGTTTGAAGCATTGTGCTGTGTAATTGTGAACAGGCAATTTTCAGACTTTGTGATTTGATTACCTCTTTGTTCCTTTCTAATCAACCCTGCAATTCTTTTCATATCAGGGAAAGGGAAATATGAAAAATAACACAACAATTAAATTATGATTATATTGTAATGTGCTTTGAAGTAATCAATCATAAGAATTTCTTTATGTATTCAGATATTCATGTGGACTGTGAAAGCATCAAGTTCAAACCTGAACTGGGGATCCTCCCATTGAGTCATCCAGCTTCACTGTGAGGAACGCTGAGGCTGCCAGCTCATCTTGGGTGCACTTCAGCCCCTGCCTGAGAAAGCAACACAGACAGACTAAGTGACTGTCCTCAAACCTAGCCGTTAGATGGATACAAGTTTTTTTTCCTCCGGTTGCAATTTGCACGGCACTGCACAAATAACGCTTTCCATGCATGTGAGCGGGAGTCTCTTGTCACCCACCAGGTGTAAATTATGTGTTTTTCCCGGCTTCCCATGCTGTAGCTGTAGAGGATGAGGTAGCAGTCTCCGCCATAGAAGTGACCGTACGTGGAAGGGTCCACTGGCACCTTTTCACCGTTCTCAACACGCCAGATCTGAAAGCCAGACGTCATTTTTTCATTTACGCAGCTTGCTACTCAAGGTCTGTCTGCCATGTTTTTCCATTTTGCCCCCGCCCCCCTTACCTGGATCTTGCCCTTGCCATCGTCTACCATTCCATGCTGTGCTGCCATGGCTTTGTTAGAGTGCAGGCTGGAGGCATCGAAGGGAATTTGTTCCACTTTGGCTATGCGGCCGATGCTGTAGGCCTTAGACGGGCCTGTCGTCTCATCCTTGTCCTTCCAGTCACTGAAAAACTGCTTGAACAGAGTCGTCTCACCTCCCGCAGGGAGTACCTGGATCTGCAAGTCAAGTTTGTTACGTTTTTTTGTCATGTTACACACTTTGTGACTTTTTTAGCAATTAAGGAGTTTTTCGGCTCTACCTGCGTTTTGCTGCTGTATCCCTTGTCCTTGATGAACTCCTGTCCTGCCGACATGGCTTTTTGACGCTCTGATACATTGGCTTTCGGACCTGTTTGGAGTCACATAATTGGAAGATTGTTATTTTCGAAAAACACGTCTCAACTGAGGCCGATCAAGTGGACAATTTGGTATCGATGAAAACTTTTAATTAAAACCAGAACGGTACGGATGTTGCTAAGAGACACGAACAAGGGGATATTTTCACTCTCTGCTGCATTATTAGGCTATAATGCTGCCAGCACCTTTCCAAACGAAGATGTTCTTGTCCACCCCATTGTCCAGGATGTAGCACTCCTCGGGAGACAGCATGGCCTGCTTGAAAGGGCTAGACGAAGCCACAGACGTCACCTTCATGGAGCCAGAAGCATCTGAGATCTAAACAGCAAAAGGACAGCATTACCAAAGTGCTTTTTTTAATGAGCACCAGCCTCAATTTCCCACACAAATCAAATATTTTGTAAATTAATACCATTTTCTTTTTTTCAGAAATAATGCAGGGGGTTCACTTATTTCATGTGGAATTGTAACTTGAGTTGAGTCATTTAGATGCTTTCAAAAAGGTATTTTCAAATATAGTGTACAAGTTTAAAATGCTTCCACAAGCACATGGCACAATCACTCTCAGTTTATTACACTTGATTTATCGATTTATTGTTGGCAGAGTACCCGTCTTCCTGACTAATGTGATTTTCCATCCAGAGGTCAGTGAGTGCATATAAAAAAACTTTGTATTCATTGTTGCATCTCTCACCATGTAGAGGGCACCCTTCTTTCTGTTGGAAGAGTCCACCTTCTCATCATCAGGAGTACTGGGTGCAATGGTGGTTTTGGGCCCCAAAGCCTTGTGAGTAAAACGAATGAATCCCAATTAGAAAGTATTCAAACATTTGTCCGGATATCCTAATAGAAATAAAACGGTAGGGACAGTGGACTTTGTCCTACAGCTTCTTCAAATTGAAAAAGGGGCCTTGATAAATTAAAAAACGCCCCTTATTCCCCTCAGTCCCATTACATCTCTTTGGAGCACTCTCAATGTAAAGGACGTGTTTACAGTGAAACTTTGGCACATAACTAGCACATGGGTAGCACATTACAAAGGAGAGCATTGTATCCCAGCGTTCCCACACTGACTAACTCAGTGGCAATGAATGCATCAACCACACACTGAACTGCACTGTAGTGATCTAATTTAAGAATTAATTAGGGGGGGAAATTATTATGGGACAGAGAAGAACAGGGAATGCGTGTTTCACCTCGATGACAGCAGCCGGCTCGTCTCCCTCCTCCACCATGTGCACTTTTGCTCGGCCGTTTCTCTCATTGTCTCTGATATCAATTGTGACCTGAGAAGCCTTCAGCCGCTCAAAGCGGTTACACTCACTGCCGCACCACTGATATACATCCTGCAGGAAAGAACAACCAGGAAAAAGGAAATGGAAAACTTTGACCTCAAATAAGTTGGTTATAAAGATTTGCTGCACAGACATCTGAGGTTTAAGTACAAAATGGGTGCATACATGCAATTAAACTAAAACAGTGCATCTTTTTAACTGAACTCTTGCTATTAAAAGCTTTTGGTTGTTTGATATTATCACTTCTCTAAACTGATTCTGTCTTCTACCTTAAAGAACACAATGCAAACTACCATTCATTGATGAATTCATTTATCTATTAATGAATAAAACCAAAGATGCTGGGTCTATTGTTTACAGTGACCATGAAAAATACCAACAATAATTTATTCTAATTAATCAATATAATACTTATTTTTTACTATTCAGCATGAAAAAACTATAAAAGAACATGTTGTGCTTTGGTTCATTTTGTTTTTAGGTTTTTGGGCGGATATCTTGTTCTCATTAGATCCTCTGGTTTTGATGAAAAAAACAACAGGTACCAACAACGGAGAGGAAAACATTGAGTACCTGCCAGAGCTGTTGGGGAATCACCCTCACCTCAGGGTAAAATCAAACCTTCTTAACAGCAACAAATACTCAAGATGAACATAAATCAGAATCTGGTCTTCGCGTAAACGTTCAAGGTATTTGGATTGGGAAGTTTAACTAAAATTCATTTCTAAAAAATAATACAATAATTTATATGATTGAAAAAATATTCAGCACCCAAACAGTAAAAAAAAAACAAAATAAAATTCTGTACGTTTGATGGAATGTCAGTGGGTAGAATAGTTCATATTTGTAAGAGTAACTGATTCCAAAGCAAAAAGCAACTATTCAGTAGGTTTATTGGATCCAAGATAACTGAACTAAATTCAGGTATGAGCTTCATAAATTCTAGGTTTTTGACTTTGGAGTTTTCGTGTCTTAGTTTTTCAGTGTTCATTCCACATTTTTCCTTTTTAGTCATTTACCTTATTGTGAAAATTTGACTTTTTGTCTATGGACTTATGGTTTGTGACTTACCAGTGGTTGTTTCATTTAGTTTTATTGTAGTCTCTTATCTAGTTTAGTTCCTCTCATGCCTTCTCTTTTAGTTCATTGTGTTCTTCGTCCCTGTCTGTCCTTTTTTCCCACAGTTTTCTCAGTGTTTCTTCATTTTGTTCATCGGCTCCACTTCCTTCACCTGTGTTAATTGTCTCTTACTCTTCATCAGATCATAATCTTATGTCACTGATGTTTTCACCCTCAACACTGGTCTTCCTTGGTCTTCATTGGTCTTCCTTGGTCTTCCTTGTCCTCTTTGTCTTCATTGTCTTTGCCACTGCTAAGATTTTTCAGGATTGCTCTTGTTTCTTTTTAGTATGTTTTTTAGTTTTCCATTTTAGTTTTTTGTTGTAGATCCTCCTCTGCGTATTATTTGTCTACCACTAAATCCTCTTTACTGGGGAATTTTTATTACAGGATTATTATCGTGACATGTTTTACAGCAGCATGCAAGGAATTCTCAAAGACACAGGGTTCCGAGGTTCTCTTCCGAGGCCAAAACTCCAATCTTTCATTGGTGTCTGGTGAAATTTCGTGACTTCATTCTAGGACTATAATGTGGTGTGAGCAGTTATGACTATTCACTCCCAAAATATGCTCCCAGAATTAGATATGTCCCTCAAGTAATAGGTGAACAGACTCTCAACCCAAAACATCCGTATTTGCATGAATGGTGTAACATGAAATTAGACTATATACCTGCTCGAAGAGAAACTTTCACTCACCTTTCCCAAGTCGATGATGAAGCAGTCCCCTTTGTTGAAGCTGGACCAGGACATGTCCACTTCTGTCGCTCTAATGACTCTGCGACCCTTGACGTGAAGCAGACGCTTCACATTCATGTCATTCGTCACAACGTGATTGAAACCTGAGGCCACGCCCCCTTTCTGCAACCAAAAAAAAAAACACAGAATGTTAACATTTCTGTCTAATTTGCACTGAAAGAAGATTCAAACCATATATCTTGTGCCCAGATTTTCTAGTAAACCGAACAGAGTGTAGAACGTTTGAGGCAGGATGAGTGGTTTAATGAAGCACAGATCTGCTGCACAGTGAGGATGAAAGGAGTTAAACACACAACCTCGAAGAACAAAGGGCGGCAAACTGTTGTGCAACGATGAAATGAGCATGTGGTATAAATCACAGCAAACAACATCTAGAAATCTTATCAAATGGAAACAAATTACACGAGCACGACGCCTGCTTCTGGTTACAAGACAGACCATACAGTCTAAGTAGTGCTGTACCTTTAAGTCAGGTCTGCCACGCAATGTGCCCTCCTTGGTCAAGCCATTAAACAAAACAGGTATTTAAAAGACATGTAAATGCAACACTGCAAATGAGCAACAGGGAGAGTGTAAACCGGAGAAGACCAACATGACTGCTTTTATGGAAAAAGTTTTGAGGAAATACTGATGTCATGGTGCAGTTTCAGAGAAACAACACTCAAAGGAGTCTGTCTTGTTTTCAAGTTGTTCAATGCAGCTCTGGCATTCACTGAAACAAGTTGCAAGGCTGAGGATTTGAAGAAGTGGGAACACTGAGACGTAGACCACATTAATGCTGATTGGCTGCTACATTTCCATGGTAACAATGCAGGCTCTGTTGTTCTCCCTGTTAGAATTGTTTTGTAATGACTCAGTTGCTCAAACTATAAAGAATTGATAAAGTTTCCTTCTCCTTTTTCAGAAAAACCACTGTGAGAGTGCACGAACTAGCATGTGCAAAGTTTCCAACCTCCAACAAAAGTAGTAAACAAGAATTTGGGCTAATTACATTGCACTAAAGTCGGGCTTGGGGGAGCGGATGCTTTTGAGGGCAACGGGAAACAGATGGCTGGTAAAAGTGGCTTAGCTTGAGTCTCAAAATGACTCCTTTTGCACAGGCTGGTTGCAAGGGTTGTGGCTGATCAGACTGTCAGACACACCCCGAGATTTAAATAACGCCGGGATAATGTTGTGTGTCCTCTGAACTTCAGACTCCCAAGCTTCGCTTCACAAGCTTTGCTTCAAGGTACATCGGGCGTGACAGTCATTAAACTGCATGAATGCATTCAAGTTAACAAGAGTTCTGAGAAAGATTTGAGCTCTATGTTAGTCATCACTAATTCAGCTGTTTAAGAAATTTGCAAACTTAAATTTTAAGAAAGTCACTTCTGGAAACACATCTTTAAAAATAAAACACTTCAAGGAATTCAAGACGGGAATTCTACTTTACAAACAGCTAACAGGGTGCAGATCCCAAGTATAATATTTACCATGTTCAAGGTTATGTATTAGAATAAAGACTTACTTATTCACCATAAAAACAATACACATACAAGATAATCTGTCATGGTACTCACTAGTTCATACAATTTGGGTGGTGATTCCGTACATTTTGTACTGTCACCTCTGAAAGCCTCAACTTCCCTTATGCAACATATGATAGTAACTGTTCCTTAGAAACGTGGGGATCCATTGAGTGCTGTACCTAATGCCAAAATATATTTGTTCTTTTATCCTTACCAGGTGTTCTGTTTTTTTATTTAACCTAATGTTTTAAAATCTGCTGTCTCTCTGCCTTCCCCTACCATCCCCTAATATGATAGCTAAATGGCATGTACAAGCATTGTAAATAATTGTTATTCCCTTAAACAGTTAACGCAATCATATATTTATCCAACAACAGGGTCGTTTATACACCCTGTCATCTCACTGACCTATTTACTGCCCTTGTTTCTGAACCATAAGTGTTTTGAAACAGGATTGTAAAATACTGAAGTTTATGACAGAGCAAAGTCTTCACAGCATCAGAACTTAAGTACAAAATACTTCAGTTAGGCTGATTGGCCTTTGAAAAAAAGTTTTATCTATTGATTTTTTTTTGTCAAAGCTATGAGGGAAATTTTTGCTAAGTGAATTTTTCTTCTTGAGTAGCCCTTTTACTGAGAGCTGCAAGCAAAGGTTGATAATCACTTCTCTTAAATCCTTTAATTACATGGATTTTACTCCAACAAGCCTGCATTTGCCAAAGATTGAAGTTCACCTGATACTTGATGCCTGACTTGAAGTACCCCAGGAACGTATTGGATTCATTGTTCTGCACCTCTCTGAACTGGACCGGCCCACCACCAAGAAAGTCATCCAGCTGTGTGGCAAAGATAGCGGCTGCTCCACTCTCATCATTGGAACACTCCTGACCTGCAGAGAACAAATCTTTACCTGGGAAAATTCTTCAAAACCGTTTTATATCAGAACATAGACGGCCGTCAACGTGCACAAAAATTTCCCAAAATCTCTGAGTCAGTGGATGAACTCAAGCACATCCGTGGCAGAGCTGCTTTTTATCCCTGTAATTACAGTTAGAAGGCACGCAACATAGAAAAAAAATATTCCTCAGTTTGACACTGCAAGCACTGATCCCGCACAAACAGACGTTTTATTATATTCTAACATCTTACAGATGTTGCAGCGGCAGAGGAAAATTAAAGTGTGTGTGTCTGTGCATGAACTAGAGCAGAGTTGGCAGGGTGCAGCAGAGGCCTGTAGGTACCTGAGCCTGGCCCCTGTAGCTCATTCCACATGTGAGTCATGCAGCAGTTTCCATCTACGTCTCAGTTGTTGTTGTGCAATTTGAACTTTTAGTGAGGACGACAGAAGACGGTTTCAATTAAGGGCCCAGTGTAGTTAAAGCTGGCCATACCAGTCTGCTCTTCAAGGGCCTAATTTGAAGTTATGGTGAGAGAGGACAAAACGGAAGAAGAACTGCCCGATGGAAAGGAATTTCACAAGCTGCGATGACTTTTAATCAAGATTATTTTAGCTTGCAATTCATCAGAGGAACTTACAGTTCCAACCTTACACATATAATGTTGCAAGCACATTACAAAGAATTACTTCTCTGCTTTCTTTTGTTTTAAACAAAAACCTACAGTTGTATTTCAGCGTGAGAAGGCATCATATTACATGGAGGCTTTCTTGTATCTGCACACATAAATGTGAATGTGCTTTAAATGGAGAGGAAATGCAGTTTGTTAGCTTTGTTTACAGCTAATGCATTCACTGATCATGATATTGCAATAATACTCGTGATGGCTTTAAAGATAGGTGGACATTGCATGGTGTGAAAAAGTGAAATTCACCAAACATGATAAAGAGAGGATTTTTTTCAGATAATAAAATTCAAAAAGGATTAAAATAACAACTAATAATTTAATGTTAAAGGAACATTTCCGGGTTGAGATCAATACAGTAAATCTGCCTACTACGTATCTATCTATTCTCCAGTTTAATGTTAATTGATTTGTAATTTCTCTCTCAATGGTGACATAAATGACTCTCCTTGTTCAGTAAGGTGTGTTGACATGTATTTTGAAACAAATAATGTATTGGGAAACAAATAAAGAAAATTGTACAACTTTTATATCTTACCCAACCACATGTGTATGTAATAGGATGGAGCTGAGGTGGTGAAGAGCAGCAGGTAAGCGTCCCCACTGTAAAAGCAGCCATGCAGGGTTTTTGGCACAGGCTTCAGATCCATGTTCTCGACACGCCACACCTGCAGCCCCGGCTGCTTTCCTGCGCTTTCGAACTCCTTATGGGTAACCATGGTAGCTCTGAGGAAGAAGGGTGGATATGGATGAGGCCAAAAAGAAACACAATTAATTTTTGAATGGTTCATTTATTGATCTGTCTATCCATTTTCCACTCTGTGTAATCCAATTCAGGGACATATGGGGGCTTTTTTTTCTCTTGGAAAACTCTCTAGCAAATGGTGTAGCTTCAGTTTGTAGTTAAGGACACAGACAATGATGGAAAAATGCAGAGCACACAGTGTGAAATGAGAATTTTTCTTCTGCTTTTTTTTTCTTTTTTTGGAGTCCACATCATTACGTGTTTTCTGAGCAGAGCGTGCAGATAGCATGTGGTTAACAACTACGAAAGATGAACAAACGGTGGTTATAAATATGCGTGGTGTCTTCACCAGCAGAATGCTAGCATTTAAGGGTTCTTTGCATAGACCAAACTGGAAGAACTAGTTCGTAAGCAGTCTATGAGTCACTCAGAGCTGCTGCTTCGATATACATTTTGAAAGGCTTATTTAGAAGACCGTTGTTATCTATTTCAATTATTTTTTTCTTTTCCAAATTCTGAATCTCTTTTTCTAATTCTAAAGCCATTTAGAAGAGCTTAATTAGACAACATATCTTTATTTATATTTGTCTGTTCTATTTTTTATTTGGTTTAAGAATAAACTCCATAAATGAGGACTTGTAAAATCATGCTTTATAAACAATAAAACAAAAGTCAGTGTAAGACATTTTGAATTTATCAAATGTTTTATATTCTAACCAACGGTTTCAAGATGTATCTGTGAAAAAAATCTAGACAATACTTCCAAATGTCTGAACTATGACATCCATCTACAATAATTGTTGTCGTTTTTATCCTTTTACAGGAAGTTGTGCTGTTAAAGATTAAATTGAAATCACCAGAATGAGTGTTTGCATCATCAAAGTCAAGAGATTACACAGATTGCCATTTTCCCCGATTACACAAGAGCCAGATTACACATCTGTGAGGGGAGCTGGATTACTGCAGCAGTGAGCTTGACGTGCTCTGTGACGACACAACACAGAGCCTGTCCACTGTCACAGCTTCCAATCCATTTAATTTCCACTCTGGTCCATCCACCGCGAGCCACATCTTACACCAGGATGTATTATTGAACCTATTATGAGGTTACATCACGCTGTTATGAAAATCTGCCCGCCACTCTAAACAAATGTCGATCATCACTACCGTCAAGCATGTCATCATAGTTTGCTTTGCTGTGTGTTAAATGAGTGGCCTGCAGCTCAGGTTTCAGAGTAGGAAGTGTACTTCCTGGAAGATGTGGATCAGTAAGTGCTGCATCATGGACAGATCTATAGACACCACAAAATATGAAGATATTGAATGGAGTCAGATGCACTGAGAGCAGAACTGAGGAGACGCAGTAATGACCGGAATAATGCAGCTCTGTGGGGAGTGCTGGCTGGAGCATCTCCAACTTAATTTCCCTGCTTCCTTATTCTCTGCTGTCAAATGAATACCTCAGACTGATATGCTCCTTTCTTAGATGTATCACTTTTTGAAAAACGCACTTCTATGTAATAAAAAAAGAGGACAGATATTAAGTCTTGTTGCATTAATTAGCTTTTTTTTCTTTTCTTTTTTTTACTTTTACTTTTTTCATTTTTCGAGTATTACATAACATAGAACTCACTACTTCACGCACTCCATTTGCGCTCTGCCTCTCTCGCTTGGTAATAAACGGTTTACAGCAACAACAAATGACCAAACGGCAACCCGAATAAGCAGTTTTTTCAGACAGGATCTGAACGCTCTTTCTGCTCTTTCAACGCGCCCCTGCCGAACACCAAAATGAAAACAGAGTTGGGTTTTTTTTTCCACATCTGGATAATCCTTTTACGCGTGAACTCCACAATCCGTGCCTTTAATTACCAACTCGAGGCGTGATTTAGTAGTAAAAACCCTGAATCTCTTAACACGGGCGAGGATAGTTGCACTTACAGCTTTGAGAGATGATTTGCAGAGAAGAGGAGGAGCCGCACCACAGCTGGAGGTTTGCAGACGTGGGAGTGAGAAGCGTATGAGCGTCTTTGCCTTTTTAGATATGTAGTAGAAGGAAAAGAGAGCAAGAGCTCTGACAGTACGTGAATATGAGGAGGAGGGGCTTAAAAGTGATTGGTCGACTGGAGCACCGAGGATAAAGATGATTCTGTCAAAGATGCTTTTGAACAATGTCGTGGAGCACATTTGAACTTCGACTACTTTTAAACCTGCATACTGTAAAGTGCTGATAAAGTGGGGGAGGGGCAAATTTGACAGGGCCCCAGTTCAAGCTGCAGCACGTTTTTCTTGGCTTTTAGAAAAAGCCCTGTGTGTTAAACTAAAAAAGAGCAAAACGTGTAAGCCTTTGAGCTCCCTGGATTTATACTGAGACTGACAGATGTACAAGTTCTGCAGGGAACCTGTTGAGCAGCTCATCATTTCCACCAATCAAGTTTCAATTACAAACCAAAAGGCTCCCACGGGTCACGCCCAGCCTACATACACAAACCATGCAGAGGCTCCAGCACTGCAGCAGAAATGATGAGCGCTTGTGTTTAATCAAGCTCTGGCTTTCAAATCTTTCAGCCAACAGCTCTGAAAAACCGGAATGTGGTTCAAATTATTTAATGAACCAGTCCCACTAGTCGTTTGGATCCTCTTTAGAGATACGATAATATTTTAAACCAGAAGTTACCTGATTGTGTTTTATCTAGGGGCGAGCAGATCACTAAATAAATGAACTATCCAATTCAGTTTGGACAAAAGCAACCTGTCAACGTTGCTGCTGACTTGTTCTCGTTTTGTTTGCTTTATGGCATCAGTTTAGTTTAGACGGAAGTGAACTGGGATCATAGCTTGTCCTCACAGGACGTTTCATCACGGTGGTTATGCAACGACTAAAAAGCCCTTCCTAAAATTAGTGACCCGCTTGAAACATTAATGTGTCCCTAATGCAAAAGGCCCCTTGTAAAAAGCATTATTTTTCTGTAGCTGTATAATAGAGATTGTTTGTTGCCGTATCTGTTGTTGATGCCACGGTGAATTTGAAATTCAGATAAGACCTGATAAGGGAAACACAATGCATAAGAAAAAAGAGGAAACATCTGTGCCTCTATCTGTGAAGATTTTTTTGTCCGCTGGTTTCCATTTTAGCCTTTGGTCTCCGACGCACATATCACTCATGTAAACTAAGAAAAAAAACATTTGTTCCTACTGTGTGGCAAAAAAAGAACTCAGCTTCACTTATCTGAGTTCATTTGGTTACGGGTGCCAGATTCGGGGGTCATCGTCTTATCATCTAACAGAACGTGACATGTAAGCTAGAGGCCCATTGTGCCACTCACTGACAACTGCGTGATGCAGGTCCCCATTGACAATACAGCCTGCCCTAAATGGATTAGAATCTTAGTGTTCGAGGCTTAGATAGCCTGTGTCCACCAAATAGAACAGAGAGGTGCTCGTTTTGAAACCGGATACCTTGTCAGTTGTAAATACAACATTTAAATCTGAATTGTTCCGTTACAGTCAGGCTCTTGACAGAATCACAATGGGATAAAAAGTTGTAAAAAAAAAATTAGAAAAGGGAAAGATGATGGGGAAGATTAATTGGATTTCATGGCACAGATCACTCATATCTCTTAACTTGTCAGCCGTATCAATTTATTTTTGTCTTCTTAAAACACTGAGAGACACCGGTGTGGGATTTTTCTGTCAGCGACAGACCTCTGTCACGAGCAGATCAGCTGTAAATTACCATTCGTCATGTTTGCCACAGCGAAAGCTCCTGTGGACACACGGAGTGTAAACAGCGCGTGGGAGTGGCACTGGAGCAAATGTCGGACTTGTCATACAACAACTAAACCAGGAAGACCTACTCCCTGTGTAAAAAGGTTCAGTTTAAACAAGGGGAGGGCCAGATTAAGCGAGCGGCTCCTTGGTGATTGCGGACTGCTGTGGAAGGAGATAACGATGACCTTTCTCCAGAGTGTGCTGTTAATAATTGTTTTCTTCCATGCTGAGTCCAATCTCAGGTTGAGTCCGGTGCTCCAATGAAGGCCGCAAAATCTGTGCTGTAAACGGGTCTGACCAGGCCACGCTGCTTGTTCTGGGCCTGGTGTATGAGCATTTAGATAAGGTGAACACTGCTCCTGTCAAGCTGCCTGGGGCTTGACCGCAGATGACCTGTATCGTTTACCAAACTGACCATGGGACAAATGCATAAAGAAGGGGGGACTGAGAATAGATTAGATTGAAGTTATTCAGGTTGTACTCGGTAACAACGACCACCCTCAAGGGAACATGCTGAGTTCCTCTCCACTGAATTACTTGTAAAAACAGATGTGCTTGTTCTGCTTTAGTTTATGTGCCGCCACAGGACCGTGTGTGTGCGAGGCACACAGGTCTGCAGCACAGAGCCAACATCCTGATGATACCATGTGTAAACAAGGATCTTGCAGCCTTACTCAAAGCATTATTACTTTATGGCACAATGTGTTGTTATTACGGGTGGCATTTCATTGTCAACTGCTATATCAATGGTTTGATTCCCATAATTCATTAGAGGTTTATTTAACCCTCCTGTTATGTTGCGGGTCAAATTGACCCGTTTTAAAGTTTGAAGATCTGGGAAAAATAGTTTAAAATATTTTTTCAGTATGTAACTTCTTCTGCTTGCCTTAAATAGTGTAATCAACATATAATATGAAAATGGTTCATCTCACATATTTGCAACCACCCCCTGCATGTTTATATTACATAGATACTGTTCGGGTCAATTTGACCCAGCAGTCAAACTGGAGGTAAAATGGTGTCAGAAATGTCAGACTATTTCTTTCTTTGCAACTGTGAGACATGTTTAACCCCAATCTCACTCACACACACACATACACACACACACACACACCTATACACACACACACACATACACACACACACACACACACACACACACAGAGGAGGATGTGTCTGAAGATGAAGACTATCTTGAGCTAAATTCTGATTCTAATGATTATGATTTTGAACCTGATGATGGAATTGCTATTCCTATTCCTCCAAACATGGCATTCATGTAAAAAATGGTGAAATACAGTGGTTTTCATCCCCACATATGCGTCAGGCAAAACTGTCTGCAGAAAACATAATAAAGACAGTGCCAGGGCCCACTAAGATGGCAGTGACTCATGTGACTGACATCAAGTCAGCTTTTGAGCTGGTCATGCCAGATTCATTGCAGAAAATCATTTGGGAACTGACTAATCTTGAAGGGAGGCGTGTTTTTGGGGAGAAGTGGAAGGAGCTGGACAAAAGGCGTTTAGATGCGTATTTGGGGTTCCTCGTCCTGACTGGGGTCTGTAAGTCTAAGGATGAATCGACAGCCAGTCTGTGGGATGCAGAGACAGGCAGGGCTATATTTTGAGCCACAATGTCTCTGGAGACATTTCACATTTTCTCCAGAGTAATCCGATTTGATAATGGAGAGACAAGGGCTGGTAGACGGGAGAGAGACGAGCTTGCAGCTATTTGGACAGTGCGGGACAAGTGGGTAGAGCAACTTCCACTACTCTATAACCCAGGCCCTAATGTCACAGTGGATGAAAGGCTGGAGGCATTCAGAGGTCGCTGCCCATTTAGGCAATACATGCCTTCCAAACCAGCTAAATATCGGATAAAAATCTGGGCAGCATATGAAGCAAACACCAGCTATGCATTGAACATGCAGGTTTACACTGGAAAGCCGGTTGGAGGAGCCCCAGAGAAGAATCAGGGCACAAGTGTTGTGCTCCATATGGCACAGGGTCTCAGGGGACAGAATATAACCTGTGACAATTTTTTCACAAACTACAACTTGGGTCAGGAGCTTCTAAAGAGAAAGCTCACAATGGTCAAAACTGTCCGAAAGAACAGGGCTGATCTCCCTGCTGAGCTACTGGTAATCAAGGACAGGGCCCCTCAATCTTAAATTTAGTTTCAATGTTGTGTAAAACTATTGTGTTTTATATGTTGGTCTTTCAAAAGTAATAAAGTGGTGAAACATTAAAAAAAGTTTGAACATGCAGTTTAAAAAAAAAAAACGAGTGAATTATCATAATTGGATCATTACCTGTTAGAGGTAAGAAAGACCATTGCACTAAATATTGATAGAGTAGTTAGTAATGGAGTTAGTAATGAAATATTAACAATGCTTGTTAGGATTTTTTTGGTTTCAGACATCTTTTGTATAATTAAACATGCACCGGGTCAAACTGACCCGGGAACAGCATTGCTGTACCTAAAAAATGAACATAACAGGAGGGTTAAAAGAAAAAAGCAACATCAGAGGCTGGGAAACTGTTTGTTTGCTGAGTGATACTTGCCTTGTAAATGGTTCTCAGGAAGATTAGAAAAGCACGGAATAAAAAAAAAGAAAAGCACAGCATATTTAGACTGATTGGTGGGGCTCTGAAGGGTGCGTGCCATTGTGGTTAACCCCATCACTCGAGCCTCATTATAGTGTCTGTGCAACTGTCCTCATATGACAGCTTCTGCAGGGTTTGCATGCGAGTCACACGTTCAAAACTGCTGAAGGAACCTTATGTCTTTAACGCAAGGACGGTTTCTAGCCCTTTATTTGTGGAAAATTGGAATGCATAGTCTTGTGGAAAACTCATTAGTTGATTTGTTTTGTCTTATCCTTCTCCTTCTCGGTAAGGATTCCCTGGAAGAGGAGATTTTATATCGTAATAATTGGATATTCCTAGCTAAACAAAGGGAACAAATAGGTAACTTCAATAAGATGTAAAAGTGGCATGTTAGTTTGCTAAAAAGCCTGGAATTAGAACATATTTTTAACCATCAAAGACTTATTGATTAATGCACCTATTTTTATTTTATTGCGTCACAGTGTATGCTTGTGAGTTGGGTGCTTTGGGTGGATTTGTTGTTGCAGCTATTTCTTCATATCTTTGCTGTACTTATTACTGTGTTATTGCTGTAAAATAACATGTGCTACTTAATCTGTTTTATAAATAGATATTAATGGGCTGAACAACCTGTATAAGACAATTCCAATCTTCCCCACAGCCATTGTCTGTGTAAGTTATTGATGATTATATAAAAAAAGGGACATTTTGCATGATTGGGTACAGTATTCATTGATTAGGTACAGTTCACCATTTGTCTGGAAAATGTGGCTGCAGATAACGTGCTGGCTGTTTGAATCGATAAGTAGAGACTAAACAATGTGTTATTTGATATTAAAACATCTGCAGTCAGGTGGCACAATGTTGACAGTGTACGGTAAAAATGGGGCACATTGGATTTTAACAGAATTTGGGCATTTCGCTCAAAAAGTATATAGCAGCACTCACAGTGAACAGGCTTCATGTGAGATGTTGTCTGTTCATATGAAAGTATTCACCAGAAAAAAAGAAAATTAAATTTCATATCAGTCTAATTGGGTTTCCTACGGCAACTATCTGTGGCTCAGGAGGAAAGGGAAGTTTCCTACAGATTGGACGGTCAGTGATTTGACTCCCTGTTCCTCCAGGCCACACGTCGAAGAGTCTTAGGGCAAAGCTTTGAACCCAAAGCTGCCAACCAGCTAGGAATGTTTTGTCATTGTAATACAAGAAAGGAGCTACATGTGTGCAAAGCTAACACTGAAGGTGCTGTGGTATGCTATTGAAAAGTAACAGAACAGGCCCACTGGATGTCATGGGAGCTAGGAGCTGGAAGGAGGAGGAATGAAGATTTAAGGGAACTGCTGAATTAAGGAACCTTCATTATGTCATTCTAGCATGCAATTAACAACAGAATGCATGTTCCCGAGAGCAATGGAGCGCTGTTTTTCGTGCTCAACGTATTTAGCTCCTTTAATTCATCCCCCTCTTTGTACCAGCCGAAAATTTTTTGAAAAAGCTTCCAACCAAAACAAACCTCCTGGTCCAGGCCGCAGACTGGAAGATGTGTGTGTATCTTAACAAAAACATATTTGCATTGATTTTTATTGCAAAAAAAACAAAAAAACTTTTTAAAAAAAGGTCATTTAAAAAAGACTGGAGTCAGTCAAGCAAATCAATGGTGAAAGAGTTAAATATACATGGAATCCAATGTACAAATTAAGTTCATTAAAGGAAAAAGCAGAACACACATAGTCCAAAATCGAAGTAAGGGAATCCAAAAACAAGGCCAAGGTCAAAATATTAAATGTCCGGACTAACATGCACCAAAACAGTTCGAGATCCAAAAGGGCCAGTCCAGAAAAGAGGCGAAGGTAGAAAACACGGGCTAGCGAAAGTCAAAGAGTAGAAATGCTGGCGTGCTGAAAAAGGCAAGACAAAGTAGCAGTGTAGAACAGGAACCAGGAAACCTAAAAAAGGAAGCAGATAATTGCCACCACCAGGTGAACACGATCAGGAAAAACATGACAGAAGTGCGTAGATCGCTGTACAGAAAATATCCCATCTGGATTGCAAAGTGGTTGACAGGAGAATTACTAAAAACCCAGAAAGATACACAATGCATAACGTTAGCTGTAGCTGAGCATTCTGGAAGTGCTGTAAGCCTGTCATCACTTTAAGGCCCTTAACAAATCCCCCTCCTCCCCAAACACTGAAGAATTTATGAGTGTTGACAATTGCCAGGAAAAACTACTAAACAATCCCACAAGCCTGCCTCTTGAGTGCTATCCCAGGGCATCTTACAAAAAAAACAAAACAACAATTCTCTTTACACTGCACAAGTCCTCTGACAATGCTGAACTCTTATAGGGTGCCCCGGGAAACAAGAAAAACAAAACACCGGATAGGCTGGCAAGGCAGTCACTTTGGATGAGAAAGACACAGCGGTAGAGCCAGAAATACCAGCACAAAACCACAGAAAGAGAGACAGCAAGGAAAAACTAAAAGGCAATGACACGCAGCAGTGGAATGAATGCTGACTGTTAGAAGATAAAGAAACCAGTGCATGGTTTTCTTACAAAATGCGACATTAAATGGTTTATTTACGATATGTTGATTAAAATAATTTTGTAACATACCTAAATATAAATGCTCTTATCCATTTCAAAGCAACTAGGGGGGTAAACAAAGTTGACATCGACCTTAATCTATCTGCAGTTTACATAAAAACAGGCAAGCAATGCTATGATTGTGTTATAGTATTTACATGTAGATTAGATTCACAAAGTTAAAGTGAACTCCGTTATCGGGAAGTCAAAAACAGCCCGATTGCACGCTATGCGCAAACTGACAAAACCACATCCTCCACACGCTAGTGATCCATGATTAATACAGCTTAGCAAGACCAAAAGAGAAGAGTGACACAAATGTCCTTCTTAAAGTATAAAGGATAGTTTAAGAAGTCTAAAATGTTCTGTCCACCTACAATGTAAGACCCAATGGAACAACCTAATGGAACATAATGGAGGCTAAGTTTACTCACTGAGAAAACAGCAGTTTGCCTATTTGTGGATACAAGCTAAAAAAAAAAGTGGGAGTTACTTACAAAAACCTCTAACTAGAGACAAATGGACAATAAATATTGAAACATTCGGTGCACAAATATGACCATGGATGTTCCAGTGAGAGGGAATTACTTCTTTTTAGTATTTAGGGCCTTCAGTCAGGATGCTGATGGTCCTTCTACAAAACAAAAAGCTTTCTGTTATCTCATTTCAGCAATCAGATTTGCGCTGTTGTGGGATCTAATGTAGGAAAAAAAATCTGAGAGAAAAATCTGACATATCTTTCTCAGCAGGATGTAGTTGCTACTAGTCTTCCATGTGCAAATTCACAAACTTAAAAACCTGTGAATGATAAGAAATATGCTTTTGGTCCAGTTCAATGGTGAAAAGACTTCCTGGACTAAGTTTTTGACAATTATGGCCACAACATTTCACATCTCAGGACTCTTTAGCATTAACCCTACATATGTCTATATAAATGTACATATTTGATACACAGCAAAGTCTATAATTCCCAGAACTTGTCTATGGCTTGACATTTCTGGTGGAACTTGCATAATCATGCGTGTGAAATTCAATTTAACCAGCTTGACTGCTTGCTGGATTCAGCTATTGCCAGACATTCCTCCTGAACTGAAAGCAGCCGTTTGTTGCTGCAAAGAGTCACAGAAAGCATGGGGACTCTCAAATGGAAATTATCTATAGCAGAAGTGAGCTGGAAAATAAAAAGATTCAAGTCTTTTAATGAAAACTTTTTTTATTCAGACGTACAAAATCAAGACGCACATGCGTGTATAAATATGACATTTTACATCATGAAATATGCTACATCATTAAAAAGCTAAAGAGATACTAATATGCAACCTGAAAATCAGACTTGATCTAAATCAGCCTATTCATTTTCTTCCAAAACACACATTAATATGTCAATAAATAAATAAAAGGTAGAATACATCTTTAAAGATGTGAGGATATCACTTTTGACCTTTTTTCTCCAAGATCTCCCTGAAACGCAAAAAGAAACATAAAGATCAGCAGAAGACATGGCTTTATAATTCCATTATAACAATTTTTTTCAGTATCATTGATGTAATGCTACAATCCAAATACTTATTCATGCAACTTCTATGTTTTGATTGAAAGAATGCATAAGAACAGCTTGGAATAAAATGAGGCTTTGATTGCATAACAGCGCGATTCGTTATTCTTTTCTTTTAGTTTAAACTTCTTCCTCCCATTGAGAGAGAATGGTAGAGTTTAAAGCATTTCTTTCCTTGATCATAATGAGAAATGTCAGTTAAAAATGAAAGGGAGGAGTTCTGACAAAGGCACAGATGGAATGTCGAGAAGGAATTTCAACCCGGCCTCTCTCCGAGTTGGACTTTAAATTTCAAAACATGAAACTAATGTTTTTAGTTTCATTTTAAGCTTTTTTATATGACCATTTGGCAGTTAGTACAGGATGTTTTTGAATCAGTGCTTTTGACTTTGTATCTTGTCATGATTGACATGATTTGATGGCCTGGCAATATTTACCATGTAATATTACATGTTTCATCATATGCAAAAGTATAATTTTAATGCAGTTGTGGAGTTTCTACGTGCCACTCATGCTTAAGCTATGCTGCTTATCTTGTAACAGATCTTTGATTTTGAAGAGATGTTCCCATAGTGCATAAAGGTGAGGATGACATATATAATAATTAATAGGAAAAAAAGACAAGAAGGCTTGGGATTTTAAATCGTATCATTTTGTACCAGGCTACAGATAAAAACAAATAGGGGGTAAAAAAAAATAAACGATTGAATTATGAGTAGGTGTCATGTTTTTTTACCTGTAGTGTAACACTGGATCAGGTTTGCTTTGACTTTGGGGCGCCCCACACAGATGGATCCTGCTGCATGGCTAATGTCTGATTTACAAACTTCAGCATCCCCGTCAGTGAGGTCATATTCATCTCCTCGTCTTCCTCCTCCTCCTGGCCCACCAAAGTGCTCTCAGACTCCCTCCTTGACTCTCTGTGCGGCTCGTCTTTTCCGTCCCGCTCCGAGGAGGCCTCCGCGTTCGGGTCCTCCTGTCTGTCCGTCATGTACGTGAGCGGGTTGAAAGAGAGGTCGGAGGCCGCCGTGGCCTCGGCGGCGCAGAGGCCCTGCCAGCTGTGGTCCGCCGCATCGGTGAAAGTGGAAACGGAGCCCGAGCTGGACTCCCAAGGGTGAGTGGTCAGCGCTTCCCTCAGCGTGGCTTTGAGGCTCGGAGGGAGGTCCAGGGAGGAGTCGGTATCGCTGCCCTGCAGCCAGTCCCGCGTCAGCTGGCGCGCGTCGGGGTGAGGAGCTGAGGTGGGCTCAGGATGAGCTGGAGGGGAGGAGCAGGGCCTGGTGTTTGTCGGAGAGCGCAGGTCCACCGAGTGAGCGTCCGAAGGGCTGCGGAGAGGTATTGATAAACTTTTCGCGGAGGAAGGAGGCAAGTGAGTGGAGCGAGAGGGCTGTGGGAGGTCGGGGAATCCGGGCAGAGCGGGCAGGGGGGGTGTCTGCGTGAGCAGGTCCCGTCGATCGACCGCTCGTTCCCAGCTTGAAATCCTGGCCTGGAGGCGGGTCACCTCAGACTCCTGGCAGACGACAAGAAGACAAAACTGTGATTTATTACTTTCAAAATGCAACCCCAAAAGTACCGACATCTAAAAAAAAAAAAAAGTTTTTTAAACCTTGATGAGCAGGGAATCGACAGAGGTCTCCATGGACTGCTTGGAGGCATGTAGCTGCGTTTGGAGCTGCGCAACCTGCGCTCTGGTTTGATTCAACTCCGCGGCGAGCTGATGGAGCTGTGCGTGGAGACGACCATTCTGCACGCTGCTCCGCTCGTGGAGAGTCCTGCTCTGCTCCAGCTGGGTTGTGCTCTGTAGGAGCCGGGCTTGGCTCTGGTCTAACTCGGTCTGGAGGTGACCGGCCCGGCTCTGGGCGCGGTCCAGCTCCAGCTTAGCTTGGTCCAGCTGGGCTCTGGCCTGCTCGTAGCGCGCCTTGGCCTCCTCCAGCTGGGCCTGGGTCTGCTGGAGCCGGACGTTAAGCTGCTCCTGGGACGAGCGCATGGTGGAAGAGATCTGCTCAGAGACTTTAAGAAGCTGGCCTCGAGTCTCCTGCAGAGACTCCAGCTGGAGAAGAAAAGATGAGACATAGTTATAGGTGCTTTAACCGTTAAAACAAAGCGGTCAAGCTGCAATGCGGCGTAATATTTTGCAGTCAGACAGAAACAAGCACAAAATACAAGACGTGAGATGCTCCCATGCTGTGCGTGGGAGAAAGAGAGAGAAATAAGGAACTCCCTCATGGAAAATAAAAAGAGGAAAGGAAATCAGACAGAACAGAACAGCGGTGACCACAGCAGTGGATGAAAAGCCACAACACCTGATCTTAATCAGACAAACAGGAAACATGGCAGCCCACGTGATGCTGACAGAAATTCTGATGAAAGTGGTTTCATTCGATTTATTTATTATTATTTTGGGGGTTTTGGTCTATTAGGATGACAGCAGACCTCTACTGTTATAGTCACCCGCTCGAGATTTGAGGAGTGCTCTCTTTTAGTCATTAGAATTGTGAGGTTTTGTCGTCACCGAGCAGCTAAAAGGTTGTTTTTCTGCACCTCTTTGCTGTGCTGCTCCCTCTCCAGCTGTAGCTCCTGCTCCAAAGCAGAGACCGTGCTCTGCAGACTGGCCTCTGCCTGCAGCCACCGCGCCTCCTTCAGGGTAAACTCCTCTTCCAGGCTGCACAGCCGGGCCTCCTGCAACGACACACACACATATACACACATACGGTCGAATCCGTGGGATCAAACACGTCAAGTGAAATTACTCTTATGAGATTTATTGAAAAGAAATCTAGTTCTAAATATTAGGTTTATTTCTCCTATAATAAGGACAAGTGCGTTGGTTTTACCGTCATTTTGGTCTGTAACTTGGTGGCTTCAAGATCTCTGGTCTGGGCCTCACAGTGATACTGAGAGATTTCGAGTTCTTTTAACAATTTCTTAAGTCTCTGCTGACACAAACACAGCTGCTCGCTAAGCTCCTGCGACTCCTAACAGCACAGACAAACAAACAAACAAAACAAAAAAGTAAATCCTGGTTCAAATCGTGTGGGGTAGGGGGGGGTCTAACTATTTGGAGTTTGTATGCTCTCCCCGTTTATATATGGGTTCTCCTCCAGACACTCTGGCTTGATCCCACTGTTAAAAAAATACAGGACTGCTGCTTTAATTCATTCAAGATTCTAAACTGCCCGTAGGAAGGACTTTGAACGTGCATGGCTGTCTGTTTTGGACGTCTCTGTACGGCCTGGTAATGGACTGGTAATCTCTCAAGGCTTCTCGCCCATGGACAACTGTGAAAAACATAAGCAACCTCCAAGCAACCCTATTTGGAATGAGCAGGTATGGAAAATATATAGATGGCTCCTTAGCTTTAAGGATAATATTTGTACATTTAATTTTGAAAAATGTAATTTTCATTGTAATAGTTTGCTCAATATTGAAAGGTTGGAGAGTGTGATACGGTCTTAGATTAGAGTACATTTGAGGACACAGAGGAGGGATAATCAAAATAAAAAACAAACAAACAAAAAAGGGGGGAAAAATCATGTCAGATGATAAAAAAATTTTAAATGTGCCTCTCATTCAATAGCCATTTGCAGTTGTGCTGATGCAAAAAGTGCTGTCTTCACTTCCTCTAAATTCGCAACACCTCACATAGTAACAGACACACACACACATCCTCCCTTCACAAGGATCAGCCACATTGTTTGGTTTCACAGCACAGAACAGCTGCTGTCCCCAGCTTAAAACTAGCCAGTAAAGATCTACTCCTTTAGACATGCAGCTTGATACTTTAAAGTTGGCAACCTTGTAAAGTTGGCTGTATCACTGGGACCGTCTCCACATTATCTGTGTGTACGTATCTCAGCTGTTTTGTCTGACATGTTTCATTCAAAACTAAAGGATGCTATAATAATCAGGAAGCTGTCAAAATCTGAGTAATAAAGCTTACATATTTCATTATTGTACAGAGGTACAAACCCAACAGAAATGAGTGACAGCTGAGGTGTTATTCTATAACTTGCAGACTGCAGATAACAGATAGATCATTTCAAATTTGTTTTCACAACAGTTACATTCTAATGCACACATAAAGTCACTTACAGGCTCGTAAAATATTTGCAACAGCCGGACTTGGAAATAAAACAGCTGACTTCAAGGATTTAAGCTTTTTTTGTGTGAACCAAAATGGCTGAAATTCTTCTTGAATAGTCTGGTGAGTTTTGCTAAAAACATGAAGAGCATATAAAAATGTTAAAAAAGTTACAACTTTTGGAAACATCTGGAGAGGCTTTGACCAAAGGTTGGAAACTACTGCCATGGATGATGTGATCCACAAATAAGAGGCAATACTACAGGCAGCGCGAGCCATTCTGGGTTTAAACCAAATCTTTTTACATGTACATGTTGTGTAGAAAATCAGGGATTAAAGGGGGAAATCCTCACCAAGCGGCACGCCATTATGTTTAAATCCAATCATGCTGTTTGCAAAGAAGACCTTTTGGCCAGAAGGTAGGGAGCCTCCTTTTTTTGGTCAGTTACATGGTTTCAACTAAATAAATATTTTCAGATTTCTTTGTATAATTAGAATGTGCAATCTGAACATAGCCACACCAGATGATATTTAAAGTCCCAGTATATTCAAAATAAGGCAGATGTAATATTTCTATTATATGTCTGTAGCTTTTACAGGTGCCATAAGATTGGCTCTAAAAAGGGGATATGTGTGTAAAAACTCAGTTGTTGGCTTTACATAAGAGGTACACAATTAGTTATCCAACTAATTTTTTTTTCTCATCATCTTTAAATAAATTTGGCCATTGCTGATTCCAGTTGTAAAATTATGGGAGCTAAGTAAACCTGATAATTTCCTTTTCATTAAAGTATCTCATCAGATATGTCATTTTGGCTCTTTCCAAAAACTCTAAGTAACTTCTTTTTTTTGTAACACACACTAATAAGCAAAAGCATTTAACAGATATCTATAAAGGCTGACACATTAACAACATGAAAAAAAGGCTTGAGTGTTGACCTTTGTGTTTCTGTCGGTGAGCTCCCGCTGCGCATCTCTCAGCTCTTTCTCTTTGGCCTCCAGGGTCTGTTGCAGAGACTCCACCTTCATCTCCATTTGCTGCTTGTGGTCCCGGATGGCCACGTCCAACTGGCCGAGCTAGGGAGCCCAATGAAATGATGCAGTGGCAATAGAAAAACGAATAAATAAAAAAGCATTTCAAGCAAATTACAGGCCTTAACAAATATATGAAACCACCACCCAGCGTAAAGTTAGTTACTTTAAAAATAAGTCTGATTTAAACCACTTCATGATGCTGGATGGTCTCTGAGAGAAAAGGAAGTGTTCTTTGTGAGATCTGTATGCTTTGGAGTCTATCGCAGAGCGAAATTTCCAAAAAACGTGCCAAGAAAGAGGCAGGAAACAAAAATTTGTTTGTTTTTTTAAATGGTGGTCTGATAAATTGTTCGTCATTGTGAATGAAATGCTCATAAAACATGGTTGTTTGGGTACCAGATTTGCTCTCTGCTGCAGCTCCCCCTGTCTTTCTTTCATGGCACTGTCCATGTCGAGAAACTCATGAGTCCTCTCCTCCAACTCCCTCTGGGTCTCACTGTAATAACGTACACAAATTTCCAGGAGAGAGTTATAATATACAGTCAAGCAAGGACCTTAAAACCAATAATATAAGTTTTAACTGGATGGCTATGAGAGTCTAATGGTGGAGAGACAGGAAAGCTGATTTTGTTTTGTGGATAGAGTATACACTCATGAATGACGTCAGCATTTCCTCTTCATAGAATCTGTAATCTTTGGGTCAATTTGACTCATTTAAAAAGTTCAACATGTTATCACTTTCATTCTCTTCCACATAACTGGTGGTTCTGTGCCATGCTATTTTTAAGATAAGATAAGATAAGATAAGAGCTTTATTGATCTCACAGTGGAGAAATTCACTGGTCACACATCGGTTAGAGTTCAAAAGGAGGAAAAGGTGCATAAAGTACAAACAGCCAAAACAAACAAATATACAAGGAAGCAACACAGCGCAGAGATTTGAGTGACTAAAATATATAGAATCATTGATGGCTCACACACAGTACACATATTACACAGGTCAATAAATACAATACAATTACACAGCAGTTGTTATAGTGCAGCATTGTACACTCTGGTAGCAGCAGGAATGAATGACCTGCGGTATCGCTCTGTTTTACACACAGGGTGTCTAAGTCTAGTCTGGATGATAGAAATTTCTTTATATTTCTTTAGAAATTTCTTTCCTTAGAAATTTCAAAGGATTGTGGAAATGTATTTCCGTCTTTAAAAGATTCCGGATTTACAACTGATTCTGTGAAAGCTAACCAATGATAAGTATGATAAGAGAAAAAGAATTTGGGTTCTACAAGGATCCATATGCTACACATAATATCTAAATTTGTGATCACAATTGTGCATTTTAGGATCATTACTTTATTAAAAGGATCACTATAACAATTCTGCCTTAGTTTAGTTTTAACAGTTACTTTTATCTAAATCTTTGCATAGTTTTTATTTTATTTTTTATAATCACCTGTTGGCAGAGATCTTTCAACCATCTACTTAATTTTTCTGATAGAAAGTGGAATTACTTGTGGCATATGGCTGCTCTTCAGCGTGTACGAATCTGCTAACTTAAGATTTCTGCTAACCCCCTAACTGTCATGTACATCTAGAGACGAAACTAAATAACATGACATGATACATTTCTGTCTGGAATGAGGATTTTCAATGAGTTGTTGTACCAAGAGAGTCTAAGACTTCAGGTACGCCCCTGAGAGATTCTCAGCTACCACCACCGTGTGTCCATTGGTGTTTTAGGGGATATGCACAAATATTCTTTAAAACAGCAGGATAATTGCAGCAGGGGAATAATACCTGAGCAACGAGAGCTTCCATTTGTGCCTGTGAGTGGAGGAATATTATGTAGAAAGGCCTCACCTGAGCTGAACAGTTAGCTTGTCTAGTTGGGCTTGCCGCTCATCAGATATGGTCTGAGTTCTCTGCAGAGCATCCTTGAGTTCCTGTGCTTGCTTCAGAGTGTTGGCCAATTCCCCCTCAACGCTCTGCAACTGCCCCTCCAGGATCTGGGCTCTCTGCGCACAGCTTTGGCGATCTACGTCACACTGATGGAGCTTCTTCTCCAGATCCTCCGCTGGAGAAAGGCGACACGAACATGAAGCTGCGCGGCTCCAACAATGGTCAAATACAGTGACCCTGAATGTGTTACCCATGTTGCTCTTGCTGTGAAGCTGGCTCTCAGTGTGCTGCAGGCTGCCCTCCAGGCCGCTGATATGAGATGTCTTGGTGGCCACGTCTCTCCTCAGACTCTCAAACTCGGACTCTTTAGTAACCAGTTCGGCTTGACACACTTGTATCTGTGACGTAAGATGGCTACAGGACAAAAAAATCAAATATACATAAAAATAACGCATAATAGTGAATTAAAAAACATTTTTAAAAGGACACAGTTTGAAAGACACAAAGAAATGAGTTACAAAACCCTAAATACTCCATAGCATGAATTTATATTATTTCAGGCATCTTTTCCTACAGCTGTGACCATCTAGGTTAAATAAAGATTTAAAAAAAAGAATATGATGCGATGATGAAAATGAGTTAATGATGCCTTTTATATTTTGTATCAATTGATTTTTTAGCATCATTATCTACTTGCTACTGACAAAAGAACCCTTCCAGAAAGTGCATAATAATAAAAACTCCACTGCACTCTGTGTTAAATAGCTGCAGTCATGGTATTTGGTCAATCTGTAGAACTAAAGGGCCAACACATTGCAAGCTGTAGTTGTAGATAGCGACAAAGATTTCCTCTCCTGCTGGTTATTTACAAGGGATACGCGGCAGAAACATTTTTTCCGGTAAATTCGTGGAGTGCAACTGTGAATCTGTGTTGAAGGGACTTTCAAATGTATGCCATGTAGTCATTGAAACTGAACTATTTTTTTCCAGAGGACCGTAATTCTGAGGAGAAAACATGAGAAGGTGATCGTGGACGTCAGTATGAACCGCGATCCACCAACGAAGATGTTTACATTCAGTTGTGATGGTTTGGATAGAGTTGGGGGCCAGGATCACACTGAGGCATTGGAATTCACACGCACAGCCAAAACTGAGAGAGTGGAAACTCTTAATGGCAGACACCATATGAGGTTATGGTAGCAGAATAAGGGGGCAAAAGGCCAGAAACCTAAGGATGTTGTGATAACTTTAAGAATCACCTTACTGCTTTGGTAGTCACCAATTAATATTATAAATCTGTTATTATTATCATTATTAATTTTGTCCACAAACTCATGTCATTGTGTGAGCTTGCACTTTGTCCTTCTTATGCTTTTTGTTTGAGCTTCTTTCTTCTGTTTTTATACATGTAGAAATATTTTAGTGTTTTTTTTTTTGTTTTTTTAAAGGGTTTTCACACATTTGCCTCTGTTGTCCAAAGACTAGTGCATATGTAAGAGTTCTTACCTGATAGACCTGGAGAGCTCCGTGTTCTGTTGGTTCATCTCCTGGAGGTTTTTTTCATTCATCTTGGCATCATCCTGTTTGCTGTTAACCTCAACCTGCAGAGAGGCCCGAGTTCGTTCCAGCTGCTTCTCCAGGCAGGACACCTACGCACATGCAAAAGATGTCAGCAAAAGTCTCTTTCCCGTCAATTGGCAAAACCTGAAAAAATGTAAAGTAACTTCTCTCTTATTTTAGCTTTACTGCACTGTCTGGCTGTTCTTTTGGGGGTTCATTTAGAAATTCTTTCATTTTTTATGTCTTTGAAAGCTGTTCCCTGCCGAAGATATGACCACAGCTCAGAGAAGACAGAGCTTTTGCTATGGATGGGTCCTTACAGAGTTAATTTCATTAGCATTTCAATGTATTTATTCACGTAAATCTTGTTTAACAATGATCTTAGAAAAACTCTTTTTTCAGTTGTTTTACTGTGTGTCTTATAATATTTTGTGTAGTCTCAGTTTTCAGCATTTTGGCCAACACCAGCCGTTTATAAAGTGCCTTAAAAAGCCTAAAATAGGTTATCTTTACTTACTGAACTGATTTATCGAAAGCCTTAAATGACCATCCAGTTCAAATATTCAATGCACACTATTTGACATTGTTGTTGTGACCATTGAACTCAAAATACAAGAAAAGTCCTGTTAAACTCAAATCAGTTTGACTTAAAACAGCTTGCGTCTTTGCAGCTTACAACACCTGGTATTAGTTCGATTTTTGGCAACCACAGCGATTATAGGCCACTCGCAGGCCAGGTGAGTTATCTCACTGACGAGTCTTAAAAGTGAATCCTGCTAATTCTAAAAAATGCAGCAACAGCTATCATTCCATTTAATTCTGTCTATGATCCTCAACGGGGTAAACCAACACCACCATCCTTCATTGTTGCAGCAATTACAAATTACATTGTGGGCTTTTGTTGCTGTTGAGCCCTAACTTACGCAGGAAAACTACCCAAACCGAGTCAAGTCGGGTAGAGCTGAGCGCGTACTGTATAGAAAAGGGCCACGACTTGCCTGTCTCTGCAGTAGACTCTGGCTCTCCTCCAGCTCAGAGACCCGCGCAGTGCTTTCCGTCAGCATACTCTCCTGCTGTTGCAGAGACAGCTGCAGTTGCAAGTTCTGCTCAGTGGAGCTCTGGCAAAGCAGGCCAGCGCCGTGGAGCTTCTCCTGCAGGGAGGCCACCTGAGGGGAGAATGAGAGAGACAAGCTTGAGGAGTGGATCTACATTTTACATAGACTTAGCTAGTGTCTCTGCATATTCTGTTAGTCTATTTTTAAAATTTCAAAAAATACATTAATACATTGGAAAAATTCATATTTATTCAGTTTGAAAAAAATTGTCACAAATTTTGAGCTTTAGAACTGTGAAATTACAATTAAGTTATCTCATCTTATTTTTTTGGTGAGTGTGTGTGTGTGTGTGTGTGTATAACAGCACCTTGTCACTCTTCTTCTGAAGCTCATTCTCATAGCTCCCCCTGACCTCCTCCATCTGCCGCAGTTTGCAGTTCAGCTCTTCTCTGCATGCCGCGAGAGACGACTGAAGCTCACACATCTGGTTGTGTAAACACGGGGGCGAGTCATGGATGTTGGAAAGCACACATGAACTATGTATGTATTTATTGCAAGATTTTTGTCCAAACCTTGGCGGCAGACTGAGACGCCTGCTCTTTGAAGCTCTGCAGAAGCTCCTGGTTCTGTCTGAACTCAGCCTGCTTCTCCTAAAATTAGAAATGAAAGAACAAGGTAAAAGAGTAGGAAAAAAATATTGGACGTGGCGTTCTTTCATCTGCACTGTGTTCTGCATTGGGAGTTTCCCGACCTGTGTGAGCTGCTCTAAAGAGCTCTGAAGTGCGAGAGCTGCTCTCTGAGCCTCGTCTCGTTCCCTGTGCAGGGAACCCAACTCCTCCTCCATCTCAGACAGCCGAGACTGAGCCTCCTTCATCGACAGCTGCAGCTGCAGAAAAAGTGGAGCAACAACACTCAAGGTAACCCCAGGAGAACCACTTTCACACATTAACCTGAGTACTGAAAGGTTCCTGCTATGTTCCAAGTCCAGACATGAGATCTGGAGTTCTTTCTGGGTTTTTCTATCCTGTCCCAGAGGAAAATCAGAATGGAGCAACCTCAGCAACTAATTTTGGAGCATTTGATCTTGCTGTATGAGTGCATTTTTTTCCTTTTCTGTTGACCTTTATTCAGCTTCCTGCCCACAACATGCTATTGTGAAAACCTCTGGGTTCATACAATGCTCCTACTTAATAATTCCGCGTCAGGTGCTGCATTCTGCACGCTGTAGATAACAATTGACCTGGTCCCCTTTTCCTTCTTTTCCCAAGCAAGACAAAACTTCTCCAACAGTGTTTTTGTGAACAGCAACTGATAAAAAAAAGGCTCAAGCTAGTAGTCTGCACATTTCCTGAACAGCTCATGTGTTCCTGTGTGTAAACACCTTAAACATTTCAGATGTCAGCGGAAATTTCTGATTTTCTTCTAAATTTTCTGGAGAATTTGTTATGTTCATGATATTGTCGCTGTTCATATAAACTTAAGCATTACCATGGGGCACATCGTATTTTCAGAAATAATTGGGAGACTTACCATTTCTATTCTGTGTTTTTGCTCTATCAGCTGTTGAGACTGAGACTGTTTACACTTCTCCAAAGTCTGCTGGAACTCTCTTTGCTTTTTGCTCATCAGTGATTGATAGTGCTGAAGAGTGCTGCTCTTCTCCTGGAAAAAAGGAAAAGGAGACAGATTGGTGTTGCTTTACAAGCTTAGGCAGAGGATTAATGAACTTATTTTGACGAAATCTAAAGTGATTTGTTTTTTTCGTACGTCAAGTTGATTTTCAAGCTCAGTGTTCTTCAGCGCAGCGAGGCTGTATGCCGAGGTTTTCTCCTGCAGCTGTTTCTCCAGGGCTGCGACTCGTGCAGTTTTTCTCTTTAACTGAGTTCACACAGAGAAAAAAAGTTATTTAAAAAAAAGACAATCTTTAACCTTCACTCCTGGAAAAACTTTCTTTAAAAAAAACACACAGTACACATCATAAATGTTAGTCTAACAACATTTATCTATAAAAAAAAGGAAAAGAAATGAATTAATCCTTTTAAATAAGTAAAAAGAGGATGAGATATGGGGAGAAGAGGGACATCACCTCCTTCTCTGTGTCTGTAGCTCGGCTGACTTTGTTCATCAGCTCTGTGTGGAGATCATGGTAGTGGGATGCTCTCTGGGCCATGGAGCTCTGCAGGGAAGAGATTTCCTCCTTGGCTCGGCTCAAACGCTCCTGCAGACGCTCATTCAGGCTGCTCTGTTTCAGGCGCTCCGCTTCTACCTGCTGCAGAGCTTTCAGAAGCTGCTGGTAGCCTTCACCTGCAGGGAATAAGAAACGGGGAAGAAAAATTATTTGAACTATTCAACCATGAACGGAAAACGTCAAAGGCATGAATTTGCAAACTGCTCCTTACTAAGCTTCAGACACTTCTTCGTTATATCTTAAGAAATTTGAGGGCTAATTTCTCATCACTGCTGTGAAGATAATAGTCAGTTGTATTTGTTATACGCTGTGAAGTATGGATCTTGTCCAGGCACTTTCATTTGTTCAGAAGTTCGATGGCTGACAATTTCTTAAAGATGATGATTTAATATTAAAAAAAAGTATTTGTCCGTGTGCCTGATAGACTTGATTCAGGCATTGATTTAAGGTGCTAATGTTAACCCTCTTTTTATTTCCACTCAACAGCAGACCCATTTCAACAGTTACTGTAATAACTTAGTATTTTCTTTCCATATAATTTCCGGGTACATTTTACTATAGAGTTCCATATAAATAGAATATTAACACTGGCATGTTCTTCACCCTTTCAACGTAATCACTGAAAGTGAGAAACCTCATGGGCAAATGAGGATCCAGTATGAGTGTTTCATTTTAACTCAATTGAATGACATTGAATGTAGAAACACAAAAAATCCATTTGAAAATATATTGTATAGAAGCAAACATTTGAAAATGTACAAAAAGTTCATTAATAGAACTTATAAACATATCTCTTTTCATTAAAGTGAAATATTTAGGGGGGTTTTCCACAATGAAACTTCCCTCTATGTCCTTCAGTGTTACTCACCTCAGTGTCATTCTGTATTTGTGAACATTTTTAATCAATTAAAATACAATTAATTTAATTAGCCCTTCCTGTTCGCCTGCTTGTTGGTCCGTGGGGAATTGTGATTTTTCAAGCAGGAAAGAAAATTCCTGTTCTTTCTTGTAAATTTGCACAGGAGAACAAAGGCACACACAGCAGCTGAAGCCCGCTCACTAAGCTCAATTAAAATTAGTTGTACACAGAGATCAGAGCCTTGCGCTTTGCTTCAGTTGTACACAACTAAAGAGGTGTCGTTAACTGCCTCACTTATAATGTGACATCGATGGTAACCATGATAAATCTTAAATACACAAAATGGACATATTAAAATAGTTACAAGCTGACTTTTGACAGAAAATAGAGCATAAAATATTATCTTTTAAAAAAGAGTATTAACAAAAGATACACAGGTATTGATAACAAATCACTGTATTTTCAACCAACCTGGTTTCAGATTCAGTGGATGTGAAGTTCCTGAATTTTCCACAGCGGGCAACATACAAGGACTGGAACACAGCTGCCCAACCGTCCCCTTAATTTAAGAAAGAATATATTCAAATAGAAACTATGACAGTGTTTCATGCAATGGAACTCATAAATTACAATGTGATGTGAGTTTAAGTATGCCTCCACCTCTCGTAGGTGCAGCAGCTTTAATATGGCCTCCAGGCAGGCCAGCTCCGACTGACTCTGCTGAGCCTCTTTGTGGCTCTGGGTCACCCTTTGCTCCTGGCTGCGGGTCAAAGCCCGGAGCTCCTCCAGCTCCCTGTACAGAGAGCCCGTCTCCCTGCGCTGGGCATTTTGCTCTGCAAGCTGCTGCTCCAGATGTAAGGCTTTGCGTCCAACCTCTTCGGCTTGTACTCGGAGCTTAGCAGCAGTAGCCTCGGCTTGCCTGGCCTCCCCCTGCATCTGGCTGAGAAACAGACGGGGAGAAAGGCTGCGGATTTAATACGCAATGGCTATCTTTGCGATAAGAAATAACTAATTCGAGTCATTCACATTAAAAAAAATAAAAATCTTGTAATCCCATGTAAAAACACAAAAACATGGAACAATCATCATATCAAGTACCTGACTGTCTGAGATAGTTGTTCTTTCTCTCTCTTCAACACACAAAACCTCCTCTCCAGCTCTTCTTTCTCTACATTAAACTCAATCAGACTCTCTTTCAGTTTGTTCTCACTCTCCATCATCTGAGAAACATCATAAAAAATAAACAATGAGGATCAACATGCAAGAGTTGTTGTTTTTTTTATTTTAAAAATGAAAAATGTTTAGGGCTTTACCTTGTTAAGTTTCATGGAGATTGTGGCCTTATAATCTTTGAAGGCTTCTTTGAATTTTTCGGCATTTAGAAGTGCTTGGTTCCTTTGCTGCTCAGCCCTAAAAGAGATGGCATAAAAGACAAGATAACCCCAAATCAGAAATAAATAACAAAGCCCCAGTAAGCCCTACTTTTACTTCTGTTTAATTGTAACAAACACAAAATATGCCATGTTTTGTCTTCTAAACTGAACAAAACTGAACCTTTTAGAATGATTCCATTGCATTCCTGTTAACAAAACAGAAATACTTTCTGTGTATGACAAGGCGTTTTGGCCATTTGATCACTCTCTTTGCAAATATGCCACAATGTCTGCAATGGTTTGGCATCAGTCTGGAAAGTCATTTCTTTCACCTTAGCAAATAATATTTACCCCCCCCCCCCCCCCCCCAAACAACAGAAAACCAAGTCAATACATTTTCTCTGTTTGATGGTTCAATACAGATACCTTACAGCTTAGATAAATTGACAGTCTATAATTAAGGTTATGTAAATTTTAACCCATAGATATTGAGGTTATGTAGGAAAAATGACAGCTTTGAGGCAGTGTATGCTCTTCAATATACAGTGACATTTATCCATATTCCTTTATAGGCTTAATCAAATTCTATTCTGTAGAGTGTAAAAAATGCTAATCCAATCATTCTTTATGGAAATTTTAAAAAAAGCTTCAGACACGCCTTTTGTTTAATTAGTTTCTTTAGTTTTCAGAAGGAGAGGAACGCTTAAAGAAATCTAACCTGGTTTAGTCAATTCTTTAGTTTATTCCAAAAAAATTTCCCGTTATAGGTCAGTTCCAATTATACGTAAATTGCTCCACAAGAAATTTAGATGAAAGCAATGGTCAAACACCTTTTTCCAAGAGCTATTTTGTTCTCCAGTTCATCTCTAAGTGTATTAAGCTCTCCAGTAAGTGCTGTCACCACAATGTCACTGTGAGTCGCTGCTTCCTGACAGCACTCTGCCCTCATCACCGCTTCCCTTCGAACACAAACACACAGTCAGATTAATTAAATAAATTATGATAAATATTAAACAGATTAAACATAAATTATATGGCCAATTCTCAACATTTTGTTACTCGGCTCAAGTATAAACTACACAGTGTTGGCACCAAATCTGTACTTAGTCATTATAAAGCTGCAACCTAACGGTAAAAGAAGACATATATTTAATTCATTCAGAGGTGATGACGTTACTGTAATTCTCTGGCCTGAGCCTCTAGATCTTCTTCCAGCTGACGAATCCGTTCGGTCATGCTGTGATTAACCATCATCCTAGAGCCTCTCAGATGGGCCTGGCAAAGAAAACAAAGCAGCTTAATTTTTCTTTTTTAGAACATTTTTTATTTATCTTGCTAATGTCCGGGAATTCAAGAAATTCCAAACTGGCCCCATTCTTGTTGAATCTTTGCAACATTTTGATTCTGATAAAAACTGCATAGGGGCACGAGTGTCATACCTGCGAAAAGGAGGTTGCCTGTTCACACTGCAAAACATCTAGATCACTGATGAGCTGCTCGTCCAGTGTGGTAAGGCAGGCGTTCTCCTGTCGGACACAGCCGGGCTTTTTCCTCGCAGAGACATACTGCATCTCTGCTGACTGAGCCCTGAATGAGGGAGACTGGACAGCAGGGGAGAACACAGGTCTTAATCTACGGAGAGATACACAGAACACCCTTTCTGCATAACCAGGGTTGTTAAATGAAGCACTGTGCTGGGTGACATAAAGGTACTACATGTATCTGCGACCAATTCCAAATATTTCACAAATAAATGTCACCTGAGAGCTGCAGGATGGTGGACTGAGCTCGCCAGCCACAGCACGCCTCTCAGCAGGCCCACTGAAAGGCCTCCCCTGATGCAAAGTCTGGCTGGAACAGATGGACATCACATCGCTGAGTCTTGAAGAAAATCAGGAAAACTTGTCCTTGCTGCACACATCCATCTTTTTGGTCAACAGACTGGATTTATAAGAGCCTGAAAATGACAAGCACCAGTACAGAATGGAAGGTTGGTGGAAACCCTGCATTGTCAGTCATAGAGCTTTACAACGAGCTGTGAAGTTAGATCTAGTTCAGGTTCTGCCATAGTATTTAGCTCACCTTAGTATGTCCTCATTAACTAGAGCAGATTCCTCAAACGCACCGGATCCGTGGTTAAATTCTCCTGTCTTTGTTTTGTTTTTTTCAAAAAACAAAAAAAACAGCACCAAAACTAATAAATAACCAAATATGTGGCACAAATCGTGATAATGAAATTGCAAGCAAGAAATAGAGAACAAATCGCAAACAAGCTCACTTTCCCACCTTCTATGAATGTAAACAACGATGTTCTTCAGATCAATAAGTGGCTAGCTACATAACGTTACCATTACTGTTCAATTTAAAGACAAAAAAGCTTCATACGTATTATTTATGTTTCGGGTGAAGCTTTAGAATGAATAAATTAGTTGCCTAGACGCTATGAAATCCAAAAAGAAATAAAATAAGTATTTTCAAGGTAAACGTTTACGGTATTGCAAAAGATTTTCGGCTTTGCACTAAACTCAATGTATCCACAACGGTTTGTAAACTTAATCTCCGCCCACATCCTAATAAAGTGCTTTGTGATTGGTGGACAGAGATCGTCAGTGACAACTTCCGTGAGCGATGTCATGTGCTGTCTTTTCATTAAAGTAACAGAAACGAACGTATTCCTGTGTACTGATAAAACAAATTTGCATGAATAAAGTTCAAAATATCAGCTTTTATTTATACTTTAACAAAACAGGTTCACAAGGTACACGTCAACCTATATATTGATGTATAAAAAAATGCATTAAGAATCTCAGAAGACAAAGAAAATGTTACATGAAAGTTCTTTGGCTACAGAGGCCTGCTGGAACCTGGTGGTAGCAACATATAGGCAGAGACACTGAACACAGAGAGGTTTCAAATGCATTGACTACATCCCTACAGTGAAGATGGGTCGGCAAAAAACAGGTCTGTTCATCTTAACAAAAGCAGAAACATCTCCAAAAAGAGACAATCATAAGATGAGTTACCTGTTGAAGTATCATACAGCATCTGAACATTTCCAGTGGTTGCATTCTGATTCAGATTTAACAAAAGAAGGAACAACTCTTTTGTTTGTTTTTTTTGCTTTAAAAATAAAATATATGGGGGCTTATGTTATACCAATACAAAATAATGGCAAATATAAAATATAACAGAATCTAACAAAAACTCATCTATATCTATATTTTTGTTGCACCCATTTTTAGCATGGAACGTAATGATGATCATTTTTTCCCAACTGCCAACCTATGTTGCTCCAATTCTTTAGATTTTGTTGCATAGGCAGTAATACATGACAACACATCTGGGTAGATGCGACTCATATAAACCATTTTCACTACATGTCTAAATAAAATTAGATCTAGTTCCTTTAAATTAATGGAATTTTTGCAGTGACATATCAGGATGCTTATAAGAAAGTTACATTTCAAACTCAAACTGTTGGGTTCGACGTGAAGCTCGTCCAAGCCCCAATAATTAGCTCCAAACAATGTGATTAGTCGTGAATAATAATAATAATTATAATAATTATTAGAACCTGATATGTGCAAATAAATCCAGAAATGACATAACAAAATAAATCTGCCACAGTTAACAGAGTTGAAAAAGAAAATGAGTAAGAGGGGTATAAAGAAATGTTGTATAGATTTATATATTTATATAAAATTAAAATAAAAAACATTTGCAGCAGCACACCTCCTTTGTATGAGTTTCACATAAATTGCTCACAAATTATCCCACTTTTACAAAACAGCACTAAAGGACATACCTGCTAAAGGCAACAAGAGGTACTAGTAGCTGGGTTAACTAAGGGTGGGGGCATCCACGTAAAAAGAAATGTTTTATTTAATCACATTTTGTCGGACAAAATGCTTCCCCCGAACCCAATCGTTTGCTGCGTCATAGCTGCATCAAACTTACTGGAAGAATCACAATTTTTTTTAAACCTGAACAACCACACTTGGTCCAAAAAAAAGGAAAAGAAAAAGAAAAAAAAAAGAAAGAAAGAAAAAAGTCTTGAAATAAAAAAGCATATCACTGGATTAAAAAAATAAGCACAATAACAGATCGCTGAAAGCCTACAGGTTCAGTGTACTGATCAATTATTTGCCCCTGAATAAATGGGGGTTGATGTAAACACTCAAAGGCAGAAACCAGAACACAAATACTGGTGTGGTTTAGCTGAACTGCCAGCCTGTATGAATCATTACCCGTTTGACCGATGAGGATAATGCATGTGTCTGAATGTTTGATAGTAGCTGTAGGCCACACTGAACGAGTAGGCTTTACAGAGGGCTTAATAGGCAAAACTGGCTCTGGTCTAAACTAGTCAAAGGCATTTAATCAGTTAATGCTCTGAATACATGTAACCAGCACAGACTTGTATTTTTGAAGATACTGGTTGAGTTTGAAGCGATGACGGTGATACCCGCAAGCTTACGAGGCAGTGACTCCTTCCCACTCCACCAAATACTGCACCTTGCCATCCAGAGTGACTCGCCGAGCCAACACTTTGTACTTCTCGCCGCACGCCAGGCGCCCTGCTGCTCCAAAATAACTGCTGATTGAGCTTTTTAGGTGCGAGAGCTGACTGTTGGGGTCCATTCCGTGAATTATGTCCGTGGAGTGAAGCCCTGGAAGGGTGCTTAGCATCTCTGCAGCAGAGAGGGGAGAAGTGTCCGCTTGGCTGGTCGGGGGGATCTCTGGGTTTGGGGGCTGCAGGGCCCGTCGTGGCCGTCCACGTTTCCTTTTTAAAGGTGGAGATGAGATGGGCATGTGGCCAGCTGTGGTATGCGTCCTACTGGAGCTACAGAGGCTGTTGTGGAAAAAGAAGTAGCATGAAACTTTTAATTATCTAAAAAAACACAAAAACAAACTACATTTGGTAAGTAGGGGGGCATTTTCTTTATGAAAAAAAAAAAGCATAGTGACTTTTGAATGCTACGGTGTTTGTAAAATATCCATATTTCATAAAGAATCTTAACTCTGAATTTGCTAAGTAGCTTTGAAGGAAAAATAGCTAAATGTAAAGCCCAGCATTCTCATGTGATGCCACTATTACACATTTCTCTGTTTCGTGGCACAGATTACCTGGACTGTCTAGAAATGCTAGTTGAGGTAGTTTCTGAGGTGCTGAGGGCTCCAATGGACTCCACATCTGACGTTTGTGAAGAAAGCAGAGACCTGTCACTTCTGGTGGTGAGAAACAGGAGGTTACACACAAACAATAAGCAGCAGAGAAACAGGCTTGATTCTGTAAGTCTTCTGAGCAACGCAACGTTTTGCTCAAATACTTTTCTATATGAAAACACAGAAATGGTTTCAGTAACTTCATTCAGAAAAATAATCATTCTGTAGTAATCGAAGTTACTTAATAGAGAAACACTTTAGAGTGCGGACAACCTTTTGCCGATCTAATACTATACATAAGATTTTAAAATCAAACCAGGTGTCATAAATTGATTTTAAAAAATTACATGACACAAAGACATAATAACTCAACATGTTTAACCAATAAATCCTGGGCAGAGAAAACAATACCTATCTTAGCTATAACAGTCTGTAACCCGAATAATTGCTTAAAATAATGCTTTTCCTTTGCACTCTCAAACTCAATGCAAAAAAATGTTTTAATCAGACAGAATAACATCAGGCAAGGATCTCCTCTTTCACAACCAACTTTCAGAACAAGAACAAGTATCAACAGCACTGAACATGCCTTGTGAGAGTTCATCATACTGGCTCTAAATATTCAGGATAATGGCCAAAGTGTAAATGCTGCAACAATATAATTTGCAGTCAGAGGCTAGAAAACTAAAATGTACAACACCATTCAAAACATTAGCATTTCTTCACTTACTTGATGGAAGTTAAATGATCCAACATGTGTGGCTCCAGTGGGAGAGACTTTCTTTTTTCCTGCCAACATTTTTTTCAATGATTAGCTTTTTTTTGGTTGCATCTTTGTAAATGTTAAAGTTAACAATGGCTTACACAGTGCAATGCAAAAAAAGTTGTAAGAATTTTTTTTTAAAGAATCACCAAGCTCACACCCCCTAAATGTGCACTCACCTGGGACAAAAGCTCACTGGTGCGTTGTGGTTTAGCCAGAGTCTCCAGAGGACGTGCTTGCTTCCTCTTTTTCTTTTTCTTTTTCTTCTTCTTCTTCTTCATCTCCTCTGTGCCATTGGTTAAAGCGCTGGGACTTTCAGAGAAAGGGCAGTAACGAAATTTCAAAACAGTTTCCCTCGTGATGACAGTTGTGGATTAAAGAAGCTAAACTATTTAGCACTCACAAATTCTGAAAATATGACTGATCTTGGACATAATGAAATATCCATTTTCTATTTGTAATTTGGTATAATTTCTTTGCTTTTGCTTTACAACAACCGAACAATTCTATTTTTGGAAATTGGAAGAAATAGATCAAGGAGCTGCAAGGATAGTGAAGAAAGGAGGGTGGGGGGAAGCATCTAATCCATTTTACCTTATACCAGACAGTGCTTTGGTGGACTTGCATCCCTTGATGGTGATTTCGTGCGAAGCCTTTTCGATCACTCTGTTGCTTGGCTCGTCGCTGTTTGGGGCCGCCGGGGGGAAACGGATTCTTAGGCCAAACAAGTGCTTCTTTTTCTTTACCTCCTTCCCAGACATGAACCTGGCAAAAACAAAAGAGGAGGTGGTGAGTGAGGAAGACGTTCAGACAGAGCAAGTGAAAACAAACTCAACAGTTGGGGAACCGAGGAGCTGTTTACATTAGGGAAACAGATCAACTTACAAGCAGTTATTGTTGTTTAAGGCCTCCAAAACATTTTCATACCGCTCTGATCTTGGTGTGTTGGCGAGCTGGAGACACAGAAGTGCAATGATAACTTGACACGAAGCCAAAATATCACTATCTAATCCAAGTATTTTATAATGGCACTTCAGATGAGGATAACATTTGTTGGCATTGGATGTTGTTGATGTCCAAACCTCTCCGAGCTGCAGCAACTCCCAGTTGTCGTTAATGTACACCATCAGGTCCATCTCAGAATCAAAATATTTCTTCTTGTGAATCACACTCATGTTGTATAGGCTCAGGTGTACAACATCTTTCCTGAAATATTTAGTACCACTTATTAGGATGGTGGAAGAATGCACTTAAGAGTAGCAAGATTTTAGTACAGGTCTGTGATACTTGGTTGTACACACCACGTCTCTAAAAGCTGTGTAATATTCACTAACCAGCTGAGAGGCAGTCGATCGAGGTACTCTGGTCCCCGGTTGCAAACAGAGCAGATGAACACATAAAACCTGAAGTTAAAATTAAAATTAAAAAAAATAAAAAAAGCATCTCATCAGCCTTGGTACATATAAAACTCATGAAGCCTGAAAATATTACCCCATTGTTGTTTTCTGAAAAAAAAGTGAGGTGGTACACAAATAATTTCCCTTTGGAAGGTAACAAAATGTTGATATTATGGGGGAAAAAAGGATATATGACATCAAAAAAGTGTGACATGAACAGTTCATGTCTTCAGTCTGGACTGATCTATCGTGATGAGTAATGATGATTAAACATTACAGATTAAATATTTTTCCTGTTCTACTTTCCTTTTAAGATGAATACTATAAGCATAGATATTTGTACCCTTGTGTCTGGCTTTTCAACCCTATACATACAGTCCTCAGACTCAGTAATGAATTTCTGTTCTCAGCAGCGGACAAGTTTCATGGCCTCATTAGAAAACAAAAGGGTGTCAAGAATAAAATCTGTTGTGCTGTGGAAAAGATATCCTGGACTTTCCAGTGATAGGGGCTTTGATGGGGATAATTTAATGAAGCCTTTGATCAAAACAGGAAACTCTTGCCACTCATAAAGGAGGTTTGTATATAAAAAAACTGAATGGAATAAGATGTTAAGATTGTTGCCAAGAAGATACAGTACAACGATTGTGATAAATACCAGATAATCATACATTTCCTCAAAAGCTAGTAGTGTTTATATATTTAAATTACATGGCAGAGCAGGTGTATACAGTATACTTTTAGAAGTGATAATGTTTTTCTTGCCTGTCTCCATAGAGCATGGGCATCTGTAAGCAATGGAGACATGCCTCGTGGAACCACTGCTGACACCTCTTACACTGCAGCATCTTTAGGTACCAGCTGCAAACAGAGAGACTGGTTATGACTTTATATGGCAATTTTTTTTATTTTATTTTTTTTTATTTGGGGGAGTGGGCAGAACCTGATGTCTGGCTTGGGAGACTAAGTTAACAAATTCTGTAGAGTGTTACTCACTCTCCTGGACCTCCACAGTAGCAGTAACACTGCTGGGTGTTCGTTTTGTGGTCCTGGTCCCAAACCAGTTTCTCCAGGCTATATGGGAGGGACAGGTGCACATCCATATGCTGCTGTGGCTCTTGTGACAAAAAGCTTCTGGAAGATACCGCCCTCTTGTGTCCACTTCCCCTCTGTAACACACAGCAACAAGCACATTCACGTCACGAAACTATCCAAAAGACTTTTTATATTTATACTTAGAAATCAAAGCTGTACCTTATGTATGGAAGCGATTTCACATTCTGAGCACAGCCACTTGTCATCAGAGTCAATAACGGCAGCATTGATGATGGGGGAGTGACACAGCTGATGGTAGCCTTCAAGGACACACAGCACAATTACACCTTTAAATAGTAACATGACTGACTCGCTAACAATGATTAAGTTCATTGGAAGGTTTAAGTGCATCATTACTAGATGGTACCTTGTCCACATTTGTCACAAATAACAATCTCGTTGGGTTCTTCGGAAGTTTCATCCTGGCATATTGAGCACACGATGTCATCATCCTCATCATCTTCCTCATCTTCATTCCCTGAGGTGAACAGAAGTAGCCAAGGTTAGAAACCAAAATTCTAAAGTGTAAGATAACAAACCTGGCTATAATCAGTTTTGTATTTTCAAAATGAACTTTTTAAACATTATTTAATTTCATCCAAGCACAACTAACAAAACTTACATCTGTCATGTGACAGAAAAATGACAAACAATATATCGTAAACATGTCATCCTTAAAGGTGGACAAACTCACCCGTCTGTATGTCCTTCCAAAGAACCCACGACTTTGAACGATCCTCAAAAACTACAAAGCATCGCTCTTTATCCTGATCTATCTGATGAGAGAAAAATGCATGTAATAATTTAGAAAGGCACAACTTTTTTAAATTCATCAACTCAAACTCCATAAAGAAAAATGACAGGGAATAGAAAAACAGACCATGCAGGGCCCATAGATCAGATTTAAAACAAATTCAGGTATTTCCAAGGTCTGTAATGTTCCACAGGTAACCCTGGGCATTTCTAAAATAATAATTTGCCTGCTGCACCTGTTTCATTCTGGTTTCTTATAAGTAATAGAAAAAAAACAGAGAAAACAAAAGGTAGCCCCTTTCATCAGTATGAACACAGATCTGCTGAAATCTGATTTAAAAAAGTGTTCACACTAAAAGCAGTACCCCCCTCATACTAACCTTTGTGATTGTCCCCAAGTAGAACAAGCCATCTGACCACCGAGCCAACACGTCCTGCCCTTCTGTGAACCTGACAGACATGCCGTCTTCTCCATACTCCCCCTTTCCAGACAGGCTGCTAGGTGACAAGGACACAGCCTGCTCTTGCCGCTGTGGGTGAGCTCTGTGATGGACGGAAAGGTGATCCACAACCCCTGAGTCTCTGAAAAAGGGGAAGGGCAGCAGAGTAGACAACCATACACAATATGGGTCAGATGAATGGAAAATACTGTATATCTATCTATATCTCCTTTATGGCACACAGTGAGTTATTGTCCAATCAAAAGTCCAAATCAAAATAAAGGTAGAATAAAACGTTTACACAGGAGCTGGGAAATAAAAACAACAATTAGTATTTTCCTCTTTTTTATAAGACACTTACAGAAACCCAGTGGAGTTATATACAGACTTATTTCATTTTAAACCACAACAGCTCACTGTATGTGTTCTAAGTCTGAATGAACTGTACAAAGGTACATTGTGTGGTTTCAGAAGTACCCAGCAAAATAATGAGTTAAACGCATGCCATTTCACCTCCAATGGTCACACACAACAAATGATTATAGTCATAATTAGCGTTAAGTGGTAACTGGCTCAAGGCTAGTAGCCCTTAGCTTTCGAATAAAAAAAGGAAACAAGGCGTACTGGGGTTTCGAACGCTGTTTTGAACCCTGACATGTAATTTCAAGTCTGACAGTTGTCATTTGAATTATATAAGAGTGCCCTCTACAAGTTTGCCTTTCTGCGGAAAAATATTGTAGAGTTATTTTCGAATTATTGTCTAATATTCTAATTTTCCCTTCAGCCTCTGTCAGTCCTGGGTTCCCTTTGTTCGGATGAGTGAACATAATACCAGTGACTGAATGGGGAAAATGGTCCAAGCTAGATTAAGCAGGTTTATAAAAATATGTAAATTTGAACATAAAAGTATAAAAAACATGTCATAATCCGAGTATGAACAGTTAACATGTAAAGCTGTAACCCCGGCCAGGTCGCTGACCATCGGACCCCCCCTCCCACCCTTCAAAGGGAGGAAAACATGATGACAACAATACCTCATTCGGTCACCTCCGCTTTAACTAAATATTTAGACGACAAAACAATTCTGTATAGGCCAGGCTTTGCTTTACCGCTCCGCTTGTGTTTAAATTGCTTTAGAATTATTTGTCCGAGAACTTGAAAGACTTGTGCATTCCTCAGAAAATAACAAACGACTCATTTTCCCCTTGCACGTTCGCCATTTTGGTTTCCCGCTGATGAACGGGGAGTGCATTGTGGGAAGTGCTTAAACCATTGCTGCTGGTTGTCGGTGCTGCCGACACCATTTTTTCAAACATTTGAAATTGTAGGCTGCAACGACTAGGCACGGTATGTCCGCCCCTTAAGGAAGCATGACATTTGAAAGCAACATTTCTTTTTTTAGTTTGAACTCTTTTACACACTACACAATTACCACACAAAACGAAGATTTTAAACATTTTTAAAGATTATAGGACTTCTGTTGCTTGAACGACAGCGTCATGTATAAATATAATTCAAAATCAAAACAGCGCTGGATATATTTCAATATTTTTTTAATCTTTTTGACAGCTTGGTAATTTCTATTTTATTTTATTACCGTGAGGCGAGTATGGCCTTTGTTGTCAAAATGAGTGCAGTATGGCGACCCATTTCTGCAAAAATTACCTTAACACGCACAAGGTTAATAGCCATCAAAACCAAAACTGTTGACGTTTGGCATTTTCATGTAACTTTAAACAGTACTGTAACAAAGTGCTCTTGGTAATGTGTTGTTCTATTCTTACCAATAAATGTGTGTCAGTTGAGATGAATTCAATTTTCATCACATATTTATTATCATTGTTTAGTAATTGAATCATTTATATTGCCATGTTTTGAAATGTAGCCTTTTGTCATTTTCCACTATGTTCTATTTTCATGTTTTTTCACCATTGTTATCATGCTGGGTTTGGTGACAGTGTGAAAAAGACTAGAAAAAAACAGGTTTTAAATAAAAATGTCAACACTTCATCTGCTTAAAGAATAAAAAACAACAACACTGAATTGAACATGATTTAATGTAAAACCAGACAATGTTGGATGAATTTCAAACCAATTTCGAGACCCTTGATAGCTAGTTTTGTATTATATTACCAAAAGCACCACATTGCTTTTATTGTCGAAATTATAATGGAAACAGCTAAAAAAAAAATCCATGCACGCTGTTTATGTTCATTAAACATGTGAACATTTGTGGGTAACAACCCGTGCTACAATAACCACTGCTGCTTTCAGTTTCCACACTTTTCAACTTCCTCCTTAAGGTCTTGGGATCTTTCCAGTTTGTACTTTTTTTTCGACGTATTGATGGAGTCATTTGTAATTGCTACACCTATGTCCATCGCCTTCTTTCTTCTGTCGCTTGCCACCACAATACCACCTGCTTTGTCAGTCTGGCCCTAGAAGTCCCATGGGGCCTTATCTATGTCAGTCAGGTATCTATCTATCTATCTATCTATCTATCTATCTATCTATCTATCTAT